TGATTGCATTCTGTGAAATGCCTCTCCACAGTACATATGTCACACTTTTTTGTCTGCACATGGCCCTCTTCTTCAAAGAAGGGTCCCTGCCCCAACAGCAGGGTCAGCAGGCCAACCTCAGATGCCTGCTGCCTGCTGACCTGTGGAACCTGATCACGCCAATATCACTCCGGACTCAACAGTGAAGAATTGCACGCCAGTCACTTCAGTGACCAGATGTATGGCTTATGCATTAGCAGTTTATTTAATTATGTTTTAAGAGACAAAGAAGTTTGTTTGACATACAGTTTGATAATCAGAAATGGATCTTGTAAACAGGGCCTCTAGCAAAGATGGGCCTTATATTGTATAACCACTTATGCAGTTGGAGAATTTTATCTGTCTGGAAATAAACGCATTTTGTAGCAAAATAAATTTGTTTTTGTCAAAAAAGATTTGTTTTGCCCCCACTCAGAGAGTAGATTTCCAATCAAAATTAAAACTTTGAGCATAATGGATAGAACTCTTGCTTAAGGCAAATTTCTGAGAAGAAAGGCTGACTCATGCTTCTTCTGTATGACCCTGAAATGGACGTGGCCTGTCCTTTACTGACTATTACTTCTGTTCTGAATCAGGGCAATGACTGCTGTTTATTGCTGCAACACGCTAACCCTTGAAATCTCAGTGGCTAGTCATAAAGTTTATTTCTCATCCATGTAGAGTTCAACAGCCCTGTTGCATCTTCTAACCATGCCATCTGGCAAGCATAGCTCCCAACATCACCAGAGCAAGGGAAGAGAGAGATGGAGGAAGTGCTTGCTGCTTAACTACCTCTCCTCAGAGGAACACACATCACCTCTTCTCACATAGTTTCATTTGTTCTAATTAGTTATACATGACAGTAGAATGCACTTATGCACTTTGACACATCATACATAAATGAAGTATAATTTCTCATTCTTCTCTTTGTACATGATATAGAATCACACTGATCATGCAGTCATATATGTACATAGGATAATTATATCTGATTCATTCTACTATCCTTCCTACCCCCATACTCTCTTTTCTCCCTTCACTCCACTCTATTCTTCCCTAGAGCCTCCCCACTTAATATGAATTAACATCAGAGAAAACATTCAGCCTTTGGTTTTTTGGGATTGGCTTCTTTAACTTAGCATGATATTATCCAGCTCCACCCATTTCTGATAAATACCATAATTTCATTCTTCTTCAAGGCTGAGTAACATTTCAGAGTGTGTGTGTGTGTGTGTGTGTGTGTGTGTGGCGTTTTCTTTATCCATTCATCTACTGAAGGACACCTAGTTTTAGTTCTGTAGTTTAGTTATTGTGAATTGAGCTGCTATAAACATTGATGTGGCTGCATCACTGTAATATACTGATTTTACGGCATTTGGGTATAAACCAAGGAGTGGGATAGCTGGATCAAGTGGTGGGTCCATTCCAGGTTTTCTGAGGAATCTCCATACTGTTTTCAGAACATGACTTCACTCTAACTACATGCATTTTAGGTAAATATCCTACACATCCTCTTTCCACAGATATAAGTGATGGGATTTCTGAATGGGGGAATTATGGAGCAGCTAAGAAATATCTGACCAGTACTGATGGTTCTTCTTCTTCTCCTCCCCCTCCTCCTCCTCCTCCCCTCTCCCTCCTCCTCCTCCTCCTCCTCCTCCAAAAATTGACTTTGAATGAATAGCAACAAGAAGCCTCCCTGTAGATTTATTTAGCACTAAGCAGTTTAGAGACAACCTGTGAACCTAGGCAGAGCTGTGACCCTTGTAATTCCACATTCTCCTACCATTTCCACTATTGATAATCTGAATACTGCAGTACATCGGTACATCTTACACATGAGAAAAAAGGGAGGCACAGAGAAGTTGAGTTACTTTGCTTCCCATAGGTCTCAGACTTGGTAAGGTGTGGATCCAGATCTAGAGTCTAAATCTGCAAGTTCTAATCCAACAAGCCTCTGAGAAAGGAAGGGATCATTCTGACTTTGGGGCTTATTCAGCCTTCATAGCTACTTGGCAGCTCCAGGTCTTCTTTTATTCTGTCGTATTGATTGGCTTCTTGGTCAAGTTTGTTCCACTCTGGTGAAGAACCATGGAAAATAAAGCATGCATCCTTTATTGCTTACAAAATTCATTCTCATAGCCATGCACAGGACCCTAAATGTTCTTTGAGGAGTAACCATAGTCAGTTCTCAAGCCTGCCTCCTAGGTCCTCCAGTTGGGGTTAAGTGTATTCATTTGAGATCATTCCAGACCCATCAGATTAGCCCACAGCTAGTGATTTTGCTATGATAGGGTTTCTGGTCCTTCTTTCTCTTCCCTTTTTTATATGTAAGGAGAGAGGATGCACAAAATTTTTACCTAAAACTCAAAATATCTCCAATTCCTGAGTAGAGTTCTGCTTCCTACAGTTTTCCTAAACCTTGCTCTCCCTTGAGATCACAAGATGCCCTGCCCACACTTCCTGGAGCAGCCTGCTATGAACTGGCAGCAAGCCATTTGGTCAGCAGGTACTGAGTCTGTTGGGACTGCCAGGCCCTGAGTTCAGCAGGCAGTGAGGAGGCTAAGATGAGATCACATTGTGACCCTTCACTCCCTTAGGACTATAGCCTCTTGGATAAGGAATCTTTTTCTGGGGGGGGGGGATGGGAAGTATAAGGGATTGAACTCAAGACACTCAACCATTGAGCCACATCCTCAGCCCTAATTTATATTTTATATAGAGACAGGGTCTCACTGAGTTGCGTAGTGCTGTGCCATTGCTGAGGCTGATTTTGAACTCACGATCCTCCTGCCTCAGCCTCCCAAGCTGCTGGGATTACAGGCATGAGCCACCGTGCCTAATGGTAAGGAATCTTGAGACACCCTCCATCCTTATCATCAACCTCCTATCCCCCACCCAATCCTCACCCCTATACCATCTCTCCCCATTCTCCCAAACTATCTCACACTAGCTAAATTAGGCATGTGGTCTTTTTTTTTTTTTTTTTAAAGAGAGAGTGAGAGAGGAGAGAGAGAGAGAGAGAGAATTTTTAATATTTATTTTTTAGTTCTCTGCGGACACAATATCTTTGTTGGTATGTGGTGCTGAGGATCAAACCCGGGCCACACGCATGCCAGACGAGCGCGCTACCGCCTGAGCCACATTCCCAGCCCAGGCATGTGGTCTTAAGAGTTGAAAAAGAGAACTCCAAATCATTTTCTTTGAACTAGTAGCCTTTGACTGCTAATGATGTTCTCAATTAATTATAGCTAACACTTATTGTGTTTATTAGATGTAAGGCCTTATTCTAAATACTTCAATATTATGCCCATGTGTTGGGTACACTCATCTTCATTGCATAGATAGGAAAACTGAGACACAAGGAAACTAAGTAATTTGTCCAAAGTCACACAACTAAAGCAACAGGTCCTGAATTGAGACCAGGCAATTTAGTTCCCAAGTCCCTACTTTTAGCCCAAATTAGTGAGGTTCTTCAATTAAAGCTATTTCTATGTTTCCCACCTTTGTAGGGTTTTGAGAGCTATTAAAAGGGTGTAATCTGTGGTGAACAGGGAGCTTGAGATAAACTGCCAGCCGGGCAGGACAGTGTTAGTCATCCTCTATGTAGACCCACATATCAGCAGTGACTCGCATGTTTTGCATATCAAGGACCCAGTGGGTGCTGCCAACCCTTTTCAAGAACTGGCACAAGCCAGGATAATGCAATTTGGACTTCGACCTCTCTCCCAGAGGAAGAGGAAAAGGTCTGGGTCACACTGGATCCCATATACCCCATCTGGACCCCTGAGGTAACCTCTGAGCCTTGGTGGGGTTTCCAAGCCTTTCCTCACCCCTGCTAGTGGCCTCTTCATGCTTCAGTAATTCCTGGCCACCCACTCCCTGGCTCAGTGCAGCATTGGGAAGAAGGCACGAGGCTCAGAGCTACCTTGGCAACTGTGCTGCTACTACGGAACTAATGTGACTTGGTTGCAAAGACAAGAAAATAAAAACACACCCTTTGTCATACATTGATCTTAATTGGATACACAATGCCTTGAAAATGTTCTAGCCAGACTTGGCCTTGACCATTTCACAGACCAACATCGTAAATCCAGCTTTCTCTTTTCTTTATTCCCAGACTTGGTCATCCTGGTTATTTTATCTGGCATGTTGACTCAAACCAACCAACCAGACAGACCCACTGAAATTGCCCCTGGCTCAGAGGCACACTGAGTCCTGTAACTTCTCATTGTACGTCATCTGAAGATAAGGCTCAGATCCGACCTTAGACATTTGCAGTGGAAATGAGCCCTGTGGTCATATGTTCCTCTGAACTGAATTTCAGGTTGGACAGGGCGGGCCTGAGCAAGCTATAAACAGGGCTTTGTCGTCTCTTTTTCTTCCTGTGTTGAATTGGAACCAAAACTAAGGGTGCCACCCTTGGCTTCAGCCTGTTCCCGCCTCACCTCCACTCCCTCATCAGTTGTTCTCTCCCTCCTCCTCCTCCCCACTTCTCACTCTTCATTCCCCAATGCAACAAGCTGGTTTTGTACTCTTGCCTTCCACCATTTGGTTTTCGGAGTCAAACCTGTTATACAATCTG